TTTTTATATATGTTTATTGTATTTAGATGGGACTGAGTTAAAAATGCAGCACATGATGCTGAGCAAGTTTATGCTCGAGTCACCTGTTGCGATTCAATGCAAAGAAGTGCGTTCCCTCTTAGATGTGTATATTCCTAAGTCAATTCCTTCGACTACTTTTTCAAAACCACCCAGGTTTACTCCCAGATTATCACATCTAAAAAATGTAAAATCTAAATATTTTAAAAAGTTTAAAAAGTCTGGTTCGTGTACAGACTTGGCTAAATATTCCATAGCTAAGTCGAACTTCTTTCTTCTTAATTCTCAATGCTATGAGAATTATCTAACTCGTTGTAAAAGGCAATTCGCCCGAAATCCGAGACAGTTTTATAATTTTGTAAACTTGAAGCGTAAATCTTCAAGTTTGCCATCTTCTTTTTCTCTTGGGATGGATAAAGCTAGCAATGACACTGATTCTGCTAACCACTTTGCTAATTTTTTCCAATCAACTTACTCTTCAGTCTGTCCTAATACTAATTCTTACCCTTATACTATTTCTTCCGCTAGTTCTATACCTCCCCCCATTATTTCACACTCCTCTCTCCTATTAGCTATAAACTCTTTAAAATCTTCTTACTCTCCTGGGCCGGACAATATTCCTAGTTGTCTACTCAAGGAGTGTAGTTCTTCCCTTTTTTATCCATTGCTAAAGCTTTTTAATCTATCCCTTGAAACTTCTGTCTTTCCATCTCTTTGAAAAGAATCTTATATCATTCCTCTTCACAAGAAAGGTAGGAAGTCTGATATACAAAATTACAGGGGCATTGCAAAACTGTCCGCTATTCCTAAATTATTTGAAAAAAAAAATCACTTCGAATTTGCAGCATTTCTGCAAATCAGTTGTTTTCCCTGTTCAACATGGATTCGTAAAGAATCGGTCAACTACGACCAATCTGCTTGAGTTTACTTCCTTGGTAAATGCTGCTTTCCTTTCGAAAATGCAAACTGATGTCATTTACACTGACTTCAGTAAGGCGTTTGACTCTGTGCACCATGACATTTTACTTTTTAAACTTGACCGAATAGGTTTCCCTCTGTCCCTTTTACTTTAAATTAATTCTTATTTAAAAGGTAGGACCCAAAGAGTAATACTGAGGTTGACTACCTCAAAAAGGGTTCACGATACTTCTGGTGTTCCTCAAGGTACTCATCTTGGACCTTTACTCTTTACTTTTTTTTATAAATGATCTTCCCTCTGTTATATCACATGCCCGTGTACTTATGTATGCGGACGATGTCAAACTTTTTCTATCATACACTAACCCCCTACATCATTCTCGTCTACAAGACGATTTGAACGCTATGCAACTTTGGTGTTCGGCCAATCAATTGCATCTAAATTGTTCAAAGTGTATGTTTATGACTTTTAATCGTACTACACCTTATCTTGTCAGTTATACAATCGACTATCCCTTTGCAACGTATACTAACAGTTAAGGATCTAGGCGTTATTTTTTATTCTAAACTCTGTTTCAATCTTCACATAGATAGTATTGTTAATGAGGCAAAAGGTGTACTTGGATTCATTAAACGACGGTCTAAAGAGATTAATGATCCTTTTATAACAAAATTTCTATACATCTCTCTTGTTCACCCTATCCTTGAATACTCTTGCATCTGGCCTGCACAGTATAACAATAGCCAGGATCGTATTGAATTTGTTCAGAAGCAATTTCTGCTTTTTGCCTTACGAGGTTTAAATTGGGACCCTAATCTTCGGTTGCCATCCTACTCCAGCAGACTGCTTCTTCTCAACCTTCCGTCGTTAACCAACCGTAGGACAATTCTCGGTGTTGTCCTTCTACATAAGTGGATTATTGGCGACATAGATTCTCCAATTCTCTGATCCGGCTAGACTAACCAGAAATTATCGCCCCTATTCCTATCTACGTGCACAACAGACTACGCTATGCACAATCCTTTTCGCGTGCTATGTAAAAATTATAATAGTTTGCTTCACGTTTTCTCTACCGAACAGTCCCTTCCCCTAATAAAATCGTTGCTTTCAGGATACCTTCGGGAAGTCGCTGACCATTTCCAGCTATGAGCAGGGGCATAGCTTGCCGCACAGGCTGAAAAATTTTCCCCCACCGGGTCGGTGATTTCTCATTACTTTTCTCTTTGGCCTATCTACTTAACACTCTTTATCTAACTTACACTGCTTTACTTTCTTTTTTCCTATTTATTGTATTTTCTTTATTAATATAGCAAATTAAGATTATTTTTAATTTTACTTGAGAACACTTTTTTCCTACTTACAACCTTCTGCTTAGATGTAGGCTCTAATAGCGTCACTGACAAAATTAGCTGTGAAAAGGGGCACAGCTGGCCGGTCTGGCAAATAAAACACCTCCATCTGTCGGTGATGCTATTTAGAAAATTGTATTCTTTAACTAGGCTTTTAGCATATAATTCTATTGTATAATCTATTGAATAATGAGGAAGACACTCGTTTTGTCGACCATTAATAAATAAATAAATAAATAAATAAATATATAAAATAAATAAAATAAAAAAATATTCAGTCCATATCGTAGTAGCGGCTGCCTACTGAAGTTCTCGTCACACTGTCGGGCATTTTTTAACAACCTTGGCCCAGCGATAATTCTCAAGCTATGCTTCGATAACTTTACCGCTTAACTGATGCTGAGTGTGCCCGCAAGCACTAGGTCAGGCCGGAAAGGGCTGTTCAGGCGCAACACTTACATTCACCGCAAACAGTTCGGTTGCAAATGAATCTGTACCAATAAACGGGGCTTAAGAGTCTACGTCTGGTGGAGCACTTTAACATACAAATCTACAAACCTTTTCGGTTACTACTTCTCCCGGTAAATCCTATAACTGCACCCCTTGCAGGAATTTCCTCTTCTGATCCGCGGAAGTTCAACCTTTATTTGCTGAAAAATGTTACTGTCGCTGCGCTTGGCAAAGTTCTCGAAACCCAAGAGTCACAACTGCCTTTAATGGAGAAGCCAAACATGTTAAGCAACTTTATGTTCCATATATTAGCAGTAGATGTGGATGAACTAATCAGCGGGATTGAGAAGCTCAAATCATCCAAATCGCCATGCCCTGCCGCCTAATGTGATTCAACTACGCGCCCAGTTCACCAACTAATGTTTTTATCTAAGTCACTTCTCCACTATATCGAAAGGCGCCGAAGTTACCCTCATCCACAAATCTGGCCTGCAGTCTTATTGGCCTCGTACCACATGTTTCATTTATTGGTAATAGTAACTTAAGCAGAAATATTACTTCGGGTCCGACCCATTATGGAAGATTCCAGTGTGAGACCCCTGATCACCAGCTTTGCTAGAAAGAACGAGATGACACACCAATGAACAATGTCATAGGTTAGTCGAGACGATGCTGAAAGCATGTTTAAGCATTTTTATGTGGACTTTTGCATGAAGTATTACATCTATAAGACTCTGTCCACTGGCTTAAGAAATGTCACATTTTTCAATTTCACATACCGGTTGGCGGTAACATGTGAGTGGCAAAAGTACCATTTTTTAAAATAAACAGCTGATCGAGTTTCTTGAATTTACATAAGCGCCGTAAAGTTTTTCTTCCAAAACTCCAAAAATGCGCTCTCGAAGTAAGAGCTCCATTTTAGGTATTCTTTTCGAGATTTCGCCACGTTTAAGTTCTAAAAACAGTGGGATTATTTGAATATAAAATTTCTTATTTAAAGTTCCTGCTTGCCTTCGTTGATATATTAGCTGTTTATGGTTATGATACTTTACCGTTTTTCACAACATCGATAGAAATCTCGATTAATCATCGCAAAAAACACTAAATGTTCGTGGCGAATTTGCACATTCTTCAAAAATGTGACATTTTTGAAAGATGTGCGAAATGTATTTTCTTATGGGAGAAACGAACAGGGCACATTTCACACATTTTGCAAAATTGGGACATTTTCAGAAATGTGTGAGAAATGAATTCAATGGAAAGAGGCTATATGTTTTATAAAATTATTTGTACTCACTGAATTCATTGAAAATGAGGGAAGTGATAAAATGATTTTGTCAAATGAATGTAAAGGGCATGTATTCTTGGCCAGCATCGATAGTCTTCTGTCCGTATTTCTGAACGCTTCGATATCAGAACCTAATAGAGCTGGACGTTGGAAATTTTAAACGTAGCTCCACCTTCTGCTCGCGCCATACAAATTTGGAAAAAATCAATATATCCACTTTTTGAGCAAATTTGTCATGTAGCTTAATGTGCGGTATACCCAGATCAAGTACTATTATAAAGCAATTGCAATTGGAACCATATAATAACTTTAAGACAATATTTAGTTATATTGTCCTTTTGCGATTAAGACCTATTTCAGAAAGTTTCTTTTAATGAAGGGACCATTGAGCACATCAGCACCATTATGGATCATATCACAGCAACTAGAGCGAAATGCTTGACAAGGCTTCAAAAGCTCGACTGGCAAATTAAGTCCGCAAATCAAGCTGTAGTCCAAGCCAAGGCCATGGTACGTTACAGCCGACGCCACCGAACGCGATCTCCGCCTAACAAAGGTCGGGGATCAGAAAAACAGCTTCAGCAGCCTCAATACCTCACAGTATTATCCTCGTTCCCCTTAATTGTAAATATCCCATCATTGGAAATATCCCACAATGCTAATATCATATAAGCTAGATAGTTGTAACTATACTTTCTTCTCAAAGTCATTCGCTTCCGAAGGCGGTGTTTCGACTGACTTTGTGGCTCTTGTCGACATCAACAAGACGCAGCTTAGGCATGTGCTCGTGTGGCTTTTGGTAAGTTCGAAGCTATCCGAATAGCGTGGCGTTTAAAGATGTGCTTATACTGTGTTTATACTGACTTTAGTTTTTAGTATCTTTTTGTCGGGCGTAGTATCTTCTAGACGGTTCTTACGTGTTTATATTTATAAATGCAAACATATTTTCTAAAGGTTGGTCCTTTTATTTTTACAGGGAGATCTCACGGCGCCTCGAAGCGTTTCTTTACAGACTTTCTGCAAGATCTACCCACACCAGGCACAGGTGGACCTACCTTTGATACAACTATAACTAGCAACATTACCGGTCTTGTGGGAAAAACTGTAAAGTTGACCTGCCGTGTTAAAAATCTTGGAAATCGCACGGTAAGTTTGAAGTTTCTTAGTTAAAAATATTCCTTTCGACCCAATAATTGTTGGTTGGATGAGAAAAAAGAATGAAAGAAAATTCTATCCGGTTCCTGTTGCTGCGTTGCTTTCAATTCAAACGTCTGCCGAAGAGTAGGGAGTAGAAAACACAAAATATATAAGTGAATGTTATCAAATGTTTTTTGAATTTTTCGGACTCTAAACCCGTTTATAATGAGTAAAAAGGGCATAATGTTTTTCAAATGTATGTAACAGGCAGAAGGAAGCATCTCCGACCCCATAAAGTATATATATTCTTGATCAGCATCAATAGCCAAGGATCTCAGATCTAAAATTTTAAATATAGGTCCTTGTATTGCCTGATAAGTACAAGGCTATTTCCGATAGTCGATAACTGTCCCGTTTCCAAGCAATCGATAAGAATCGATATTGAAATACTGTTTTATAACAAATCTCATAGGTTTTAAGAGCTAGAATCACCAAACTTGACATGTAGCTTTTAGATTAGTATACACAGATCATATACATCTTTCATATGGATGCCACCCACCCCACTTTCCAATCCCTCTAAATCAATTGGATTCACCTTCCAGCTTAATCCAGAATTTTAAAAGTTGTTGTTCTTTGGCTAATATATGAATACTCTATAGCACATTAGGGTCTAATGCTTTTGCTCAAAATTGGTTTCAACACAAACATTTTTTTTAAAAAACGTGTGGTTATATTGGTAGCAGCAAAAGCAAGCCGTTTAAGCCGTTTCACATATGCTTAGCAGTTTATTTCTTTCCCTCATTTCCACATATTAGGCCTGGAACTAGATTCACCGTCTGTAGTTTAGAATCAAGAATACGTATGATCTCAGGTCCTATAAGAGCTCGTGCAGTGTAATTTTAAGTGTTGTTGTTACTCAGAGTGCCTGCACAGATAAAGTTATTGATAACGTGCCCTGTTTCTTTGAAATAGATATCAAAAAAATCCTTTTGAGCATACTTCGGCATACTTCTTTTAAGAGATCCAAAATTTGGTAGGCACGTTGTTGCCTCAGTTCAATAGTTACTTCTCTCAGCCTTTGAGCCTATTGTGGAGAGAACCAAAATGCCAGGCATTTTTATACCCTAAATGGTATAATTTATTTGTGCAAATGTAAGTAACAGACGTACATACGGAAGCTACTCTGACCATAAAAAGTACATATATTCGTATTTAAACATCAATAGCCAAGTCGATCTGTCATTCTGTCTGTCAGTCCGTCTGTCCGAATATATTAACGCAAGGATCTTAGAACGGAGACTCCTAATTGTGCTTCATGAAAAAGAAAAGATTTTGTTATAATTGTTAACTTTAGTTTTTTTTTGTAAATTAAATACATAATATACTTAAGCCTAGTTTCAAATAAGTAAATTTCCAAGAGTGCAAAGAGAAGGGAAGGAAAGGCCCCAAAGTTTATTGCGTCTATCAATTAAATAAAAAATTAAAAGATTCGATTTTTGTCAACTTGTGCACGAGTGATACCCACTTATATATATATATATATATATATATATATATATACATGCGATCCGCACATGTGGAATACACATTATGATCGCCCTTACCGCCCCCACCTAGAGAAGTCTTTAGGCAGGCAAGGTACTATAAGCGTTTTTGACAAACATATATCATCTTTCGTCGGTAACACATATGTATACACGCATTTATTTTAACGGGCACTTGCTCCCCATTGGTGCAATAATTACTTGTGTAATTATATAGATTCTATAAGAAAAATGAAGTATTACAAATCAAGTTCAATAACAATAAAAATATGTTACAGTGATATGATATAATTATAATTTTAATTGTATTACCTATCTCCACGTGCATGAAAACGTAATTTGCTGTGTATAGATAACCTGCTGAGATACCTGCAATAGAAATAATATTCATTGTCAATATTTATAAGAATACACGAATAACTATACGCACCCGTTAAGTTTAGAAAAAGGTCAGCCGCATAAATAACTGCAAATATAAATGCAGTAAGAATGAAATTAATCGTTAACAATTTTAAGAAAACACAATCAATTATATATAATAATAACTGAAGAAAACAGTCTCCGGCTAGATATTTGATAATAGGGAGCGTTGGCATAACAGCCGGCACGGGCTAATGCAGACCATCTAGTGGCTAAATCGCTGTGTCCGGACTATTGTTATTTTAATTCATATTAGCGTCTCACCTGAGCGTTCACATTTACTTGTCGTCGCAGCTGTTTATATTGTTAATTTCCTAGAAGTTCCGATTATTCGAAGTTATCGTTTGTTTAGCATAGTGTTGTGTAGGCCTTTTTTGCTACAGACGTGTAGCTTTGTTATTATAAATTGCGCGGACTGCGGGCCAGGGATAGGACTATACTCAGAGAAACCGCCGGCGCGATCCACCTAGAAACAAGAAGCATCCGTTACAAATAATTAGAAGACATTAGATATATTTAAATAAACAATATTATATTTTCTCTTAACTTTCCTATAAATTTCACGTGAGCTCATAATAATAATAACATTTTTTGAGCTCTTACTTAAAAATAAAAACATGACCATGCTGGCTTCAGCGAACACCTGCGATCTGATATTATCTGACCAGCTTTGCAAATATTCTTTCTGATTATGTAGACGTCACCGGAAAAAAAATTTGGCAGAAGGGGTAACGGGAACTCCCGACTAGAGCCTCAAACGTGTTTCTTGTTTGTAATTGTAGAAAACAATATCTAAAGAAGTAAGAAGTCGGAAGTTCCCGACTAAAAGATACCCTTAACCCTCAAACACAGCTCGCGCTACGAGCTCATTTGCTTAAGCTGTAATATATAAGAGCTAGTATATTGTCGGGAGCTCCCGACTAGTGGATACCCTGAACCCTCTTATTCCAACACCAAATGCAGCTCGCGCTACGCGTTCGTTTGTAATAATAAATATAAATTTCAATAACAAAAAGTTCCCTTGATGGGGATCGAACTGGCTATTGACTGCATTACTTGCTGCCAACTTTACTCAAGAGGCACACCAGCCAAAAAAAAATTATTTACACGGTAGGATTCGATCTCGCAAAAGACGGCGCTACTTGCCGCCGCCTCACTTAATAGCCACACCAATAATTAAGTTATGATGAGAAAAAGAAAAATTAAAATATCAGCACACAGAAAACAATTAAATCGCAATTCCAATGATATTCATAAAATTCCAAAAAGACGCGCATGAATGTTTGTGTGTGTACATGTATACAGAAATTCTTACAATTTGCACTAGCGATTGATAACACGTGCGCAGCTAAAACAAATAACATATGTATGTTTTTCTTAACCGATTTGAAGGCATTTTTTACAGTACATCTTATTGTGCCGTAGAATATTTGCGTATTCTATAAAAGTCAGTTGCATTTAAATTGTGGCTTAAATTGGTGGGCAATATTGATATATTAATGATTTATTGCTTATAGGTAAAAGGTGGCAATTGGTATTAAATGAAAATACTTGAGATATATATATATTAGGTAACAGAAGCCTACGACACCAGCTCCAGATTCTGATATAGCACTGGGCCGGATGTTCTGACGCATTAACAGGGGTCAGCAAAATGCAATATAGCACCAGCCACAGATGTTGAGATGTAACAGATGTTGTAGCTCTGGGCCGGATGTTCCTGCACGACGGCAGCGCACGAGGCGCAAGCTAAGCTTTCTGGCGGCCGCTGTAAAAAAAAGGCCCACAATAGCTTAGGTAATTTTGATCAATCTTTTGTACATTTAGTTTTTAATCCGGCTTTCTCTGAAGCACGTCGGCCCACCGACTTCGCGCATAAATTAACTGACTCGCTACGGCCTAGTGTTTTATAAACCATATAACATTAATTAATTTTGTGTTTCTCAAAAAATAAAATAATCAAAATAAAGACCTTTAGCGAAAATCCGTGAGGACTGCTTATTTAAATATTAATTGGCACCCAACGTTTTTCTGACCATTTTGTTCTACAATTATTTTCTGTGCTGTGCAGTAAAGAACTAATCTACCAGTACAAGACACTTCGCGCTGTGTAAAAGCAATACCCAACATATGATTGCAAACAATAAAAGCTGTGCCTGACCTACATCAATTTACGTCAGCGGCGCAAGCCCAATAAAAAGCCATTTTAAGCTCCGAAGCCGCTGGAGCTCTTCAGGCAGCGACTAGTCACCAAACCAGCGCGCAAGCGGGTTTGGGCAGCGAAGTAAACCAACACCCATAGACTTCAGCGAGGGATCATAAAAAAGCATTCGCGACTGCAGCGTGGGAAGCAGTAGTTTTAGATGTAGAGCATACAACCCTTTGTAGCATGTCATTTGGCATAAACTTTTTTCAATTTGCTTGATTTATTTCAACTAAAATTCAAAAAAACATAAGTGAGAAATATTAAAATTGCAGTAATTGTGATCCCAACTAACTGTGAGTAACACAATTTTGCATCCATTAGCAAAATCGCTGACAACAGGTGTAAAATGGGAATGGAGCAGCTTAGGGCTTTGGTGTAGGCTGCAGTAGCCTCCGCCTTAGAAGCACATAGCGCAGTATTGAAGGAAAGAGATGCAGAACTGACGGCTTCCTTAAACGCTCGGATACAAGAATTGGCAGGCAGAATATCTGCCAGTAGTATAGAAACACCGCCGGTCCAGGCATTTGAGCCGGTGGGAATCAGAAACGACGTCCAATGTAATGAACCATTGGTCGCCCTTAAATGGTTACCAGAATTTACGGGGGTGCCAGAGACGTACGCCTTTTGGAGACAAGCTGCGATTGCGGCATATACAATTTACAAGCCATACGACGGCAAATCACGACACTACCAGCCGGTCATTATTATTAAGAGCAAAATTAGAGGGGCAGCTGACGGCGTTTTGGGTCAGTTTCGCACAGTAATGAATTTTGATGCCATAATAAACCCTCTCGATTTCACATACAGGGATAAGAGAGGCATTCACGTCATAGAGCAAGAGATGAGCACCCTAAGACAAAGCTCATTGACAATTTTACAATACTAGGACGAGGTTGAGAAAAAGTTTACTCTTCTCATCAATAAGATCAACGAATCTCCTACGAACCAAGATGGCACAAGGGCTCTGTACGAAGTTTCGAGATGATGCGTTGCGTGTTTTTGTCTCAGGCTTCAAGCGTAGCCTGACGGACGTCCTGTTCGCGGCAAAGCCTAAGGACTTACCGTCGGCCCTAGCTCTAGCTCTAGAGGTACGCCTTTGCCACTAGCTTCGCTGAAGGAGAAGAATATAGGGAACGAAAAGTGACCCCGAGGCCGCAGGTCCGTCAGTAAGATAGGGGTCAATTTGAGCAACAGAGTGGCAGGTGGAACAAAGGGGTCGGGTCACATGAGCCAATGGACGTCGATCCATCTGTGTCAAAAATTCTACAACCATCGCAAGCACCAGCCTACGTTAACTCTAGCGCTCCTCAAGCCTAGAAAAGAACGGCCACGTCTGGGCGTTTAAGCGTACAGAGGAGGCAAAGAGCCAATCACACAGCTCACGAGCCTGATCAAGATTCAGGTTCGTATGCTAGCTCTGCAGCAGCAGCAGAACAGCAAATTGCCGACGACAATGGTAGCGGATATGACTCAGACACATTCAATTTTTTAGGGGAAGCTCCCTGCTGTCCTACATCAGTAGAAGAGTAGCAGGGATTCAGATGACATCTCATCAACATGGGCGCTTCCAAGAATTATATCAGGCCACATAAAAATCTAAAAGATGTATGCCCAGTAAATTCTTCCTCCTCTACCCATTCTATACACGGCACCACGAAACATTGAAGAACATTGAAACCCCCGGAGGTGAACTACGCCACCAACGAGCGGGAACTTTTGGCTATAGTTTGGTCCCTTAGCAAGCTACTTCACTACCGACAACACCTCAACGGTCTTGACGAGCTGAATACTGATTCCTGGAGACCTGTTGATGCTCCATGTGCCCTCAGGCGAACCTGAAGGGGGAAATATTAGCAAAGTTAAGAAGTCCACAAGATGCGCTCCGGGCTAGGTTGAACGACCAGCGACTGAACAGAGTCTTTGAAGTAGGCGAAAAAGCACTAGTAAAAAGAAACCGCAGGCTTGGCAATAAACACAGGCCCTTATGTGAAGAACGAACCAAGGCAGACCTTGGCACGACCGTTCTCATTGGAGGGAGGGTGGTCCACAAGGACAACCTTAAGTAGGGCGAGAGCTGGAAAAAATCTCGATTCTATGCATCTTGAATTAATAATAAGTTTCAACATTTGAGCGACAAGGCTTCACCTTTAAGTTTTAATATTTACGCCACTTGGCATTACCTTAAGAAAGGCACGTAGTTATAGTTTATAGTTATAGTCCGTTTTGTCTATCTTCCGCAGGTTCGGGTTTCTGTTATTTCTCTTTTTTGCAAGCGCGGCACGCCAAGTATATTCCCATTGTTGGGGCCAGGTTCTGGTCTGGGGGGGATTTAATTTCGTCAGGCACGCAGCAAACATTTCTGAGTACGAGAAAATGGTAAACGAAACAATAGAGCTGTGTGAAATGTTTCCGCAATCACACATAAGAAAGCTTCTAAGCGTAGATGCGTTTTACCTCAGAGATCTGTTAGAAGCTCTTAGCGTGAACCACAGGGTGGCAAGAAGTTTAGATTTATTGGGCACAGCCCTCAAAGTAGTTGCGGAAACACCTGACGCCAGTGACTTCGAGAAGATCACATTCACTGAGTTACAGTTGGTGATCAACACAAAAGTTCAGGAACAAATCAATCAACTCACTACAAGTGTCAATACATTACTTAAAGCTGCAGAAAAGAAACAGATAGATTCCGGACATTCATACGAAACTCTTTTAGCTCGGAATAGAATGTTGCTGATGGAAATGCAGAATTTGATGCTCGATGTTACCCTTGCAAAAATTAATATCATAAGCCCAAATATATTAGATCACGCAGATTTGAAATCTGTTTGGATCAATGAACCCACAGGTACTTCAATAGCTTGCGTCCGTGAGAGTATTACAATCTGTTAAGGCCCTTCACTTTATCATTAAGTTCCCGAAAATTAAAATGGCTTGCCGAAAGGTGATGCTGTATCCAGTTTCACATGAAAATGCTGTGCTACAAATTAACAACAACACTATAGCTGAGTGCGGAGATCAAGTGCTTGCCCTTAAGAATTGCACTTCCACGCCGGAAGGAACCTATTGTCAACTTTTACCGACCAGTTCCTGTGCTAGAGAGCTGCATGCTGGTAGCCTGGCAAACTGCCAAATATAGCCCAGTCACTTAGACCCGATCACATGGGTCGATGACGGAACTCATCATCATCATCATCAATAACTGGCCTGCTAAAGTTTGCACTAACAACGGTACTGAGACTTGGGTTCACGGAGCGAATCTAATCACGTTCAATAATTTGGCTCTGATCAACGAAATTAAGTACTTCAAGCGCAACAACGTCTAGAGTCAGTTCCCCGGCATCGCGGCAATAGCCTTCTTGTTGGGTGCAGTGTGTTGCACCATAATTTGCATCGGAGTAACCTACCGTCGGTTCACCAAAAACATGACATTGGCCAAGGAGATTAAGAAGGTGATCGGCCTTAACTAAAAAGGGAAGCAATTAAAAGAGGCCAACTGGGCCAGATGTTCTTACGAGGTAACAGCAAAATGCAATATAACACCAACCACAGATGTTGACATAGCTCTGGGCCGGATGTTTTTGCACGACGGCAGAGCACTAGGCGCAAGCTAAGCATTTAAGCGGCCGTTGTGAAAAAAGGCCCACAATAGCTTCGGTAATTTTGATCAATCTTTTGTAAATTTAGTTTTTAATCCGGCTTTCACTGAGGCAAATTTACTCACTCTCTACGGCGTAGCGGCCTAGTGTTTTATAAACCATATAACATAAATTAAATTTGTGTTAGCCAAATAATAAAATAATCAAAAATCTCATTAAAATTATAATTTATATACTATTAAAGAAGCAACACGTGCAGTTTGTTGCCTCTAGCTCTTATTATTTACCAAACTTCTTCAAAATATATGATTTCAATATCGATTGCTTAGAAGAGGAGTAAGTAATCGATTATCGAAAAAAACTCGATCTGCGCGGGCACTAGGAGGACCTACAGATAACATTTTAAGTGTCTAGCTCTTATATGTTCTGAGATCCTTGCGTTCATACATGACCTGAGCTCTAGCACAGTTTTCGGCTCAACGTACTCCTTTATGTCCTTGACCCTTTCGGCATCCGTTCTTATGCCTTCGTCATTACAACATACCTAAGAATTCCATGGTAGTCTTAATATCTTTTTGTGAGACACTCTCATGTTTGCATTGATCAGACTTTTTAAGACCCGCTCGACATGTTTGGCGTGATCTGTCGTGTTTTCAGAGAAAATGACCAGTGTTGTGAAACCATCAAAATGTCCGGCAGCTGGTACTTGTCTGGAATAGTTTTTTCGTTTAGTCTTTAACCATCCGCTTTTTTTACTACCCAACTCATCTGTTCCCATTTTGTCGATATTAGATTATTATATGGGGATCGTGTCTCTCTGATAATGCCGTTCGCAGAAGGTCTTCTGTTTCACGAGCTACGAAGTCGGCTACTCCCATTGACAATGGATATAGTTTTGAATATATGGGCTGGATCTCCGTTGCTCGGATGATGTCTACTACACATGGATGGAATCTACAGGGACTACGATTGCTGATGTAATTATTGGACGAGTCCGTGTCGACTAAGAATTTTACCATTATCCCGCATTTCGATTTAGCTTCAAAATGAATATCACCTTCGTACTCGGACTTATCTTCTATTTCTTGTGCTCTTTCTGAAACTATATGGTCGTAAGCATCGGACTCTTGCATGCGCTTCGCCAGCCGCGGCGGCTATAGCTTTCAGAAACCTTAAGCTTACATTCAGATTATATTTGGATTTTTAGGTGAAAACAATTCCCCAAAAATATACTTCTCTAGCGGTGCCAAAAATAATAAGAATAATAATAATAATTGTTTGGCTGTCAATAAATATACAAAAGCAAAGTGACTGCGTAAATAAAATTTTGTTTCCAATTCCCTCGTATTAGACGCATGCTTAAATTTAAACAGTGGCAACAGTGTTAAACTGCCGACCGTGCGTATTCAGCTAAGTATTTATAACGCAATTAACAAGGAATTAAAGTTGTAAAAACTAGAAAAGTTAGCAAAGAATACGTTAGTGACGTTGTGTTCGTGCCTACATTCCGAAAACAGTCTTCAAACAGAACATAAAATGGATGTGCATTGTGCGCGAGCACTGCTTTAAAGTGCATTAGTTGAATTTGCTGCGAAATTTAAGTCAGAGGTCAGTGAGAGGTCAGATCAGAAGCTTGCGAGTAGAAGCGTCTCAGGTGAAAGCTTATCAAATATATAAGAAAATCTGTTTCCGAATTCGAATGCTGACAAGGATAAATATGTGTCATAGCGGCAGTTAGCCGGAGACGTATATAAAATATTTAAATCATATTACGGTACGCATTACATATTAGCTTGCTGTTACCATTTTACGAAATGGAGTTAGGCGAGTAGCAATAGCTTTGCTTGGGTCTCATAATATAGTGATTAATTTCAATGCAATATCAGCCAGATTAGATTGCGCTTATGCTGATAAAACTTATTTTACCTTAAGAAGCATAAACAAGCATTGAAAAAAGTGCATTTGCAGCCACTTACACCAAAGTTGTTAAAGAAAATATTCAAGCAGCAGGCAGTAACGGTGGCAGTAAGCACCGAAGTCGTCCGAACGAAAGGCAAGGAAAGGGACATCAGCGCGAGAGGAGCAAAAGGGAACCATCACTTTGTTGAAAGGAAAGACCTAAATGGATAGCATCAAAGCAAGGAAAATTCAAGATCAGGCGATAGGGAAGGAGAAATCTCAGAACCAATGGTCATATACCCATACTAGCTTATATTTTAACAGCAAACAATGCAGATAATGCCGCGGCCGCAGTAGAGGACATGGTGATAAGACTTGTTACGATGACTCGTTCAATTTGTCAGGGCAAATTGCTACTATTCACTGAACAACAGACTGAAGATATCTTCAAAAACCGAATCATTCGACCTTTAAGGTCTCCATATAATAGTCCAACGTGTGTTGTAGACAAAAAATGGCATAAGCCAGGAAGCTGAATGAGCAAACTAAATATATCCGATAGATACCAAATATTATATACCCATGCCAAGCATTCTTATGGTTCCAGCGAACATGGGAAAGGTGAACTCTAAAATCTAGATTTCTCGATAGAATCGCGGAATACTTAAATTTTTGTGAACAGGAAGAAATAATAGTTTTGTTGTCTGCCCACCGCATTTTTCAGAAGTCAATCACTAATATCTTGCCAGATCAGATCAGCAAAATATGTAACATCTTTGTCGATGATGTCATAGCGAGCGACAAGCCCAAATTCTTTAAGGAGAGTCCCACGCGGCCACTCAGCAACATATTAAGAGTCAAAATAACACAGAGAATTAAAACATTAAAAAATCCTTTGAAAGGTCTATAACGCTGATTTTAAGATTCTTGAAAAATAGAGAGACTTACAACCAATGAGAGGGAACTCTAGCTATTGTATGGGCATTAGGCAAGTTTCAGAAATATCTGTATATGGCTAAAAACATAATTTTTGAATGAGTCGCTCACCTTTTCCATGTCCGATAAGAATACAAACCCCAAGCTTAAATTGTGGAAGGCCTCCATTAATGAGCATAGTTGGAAGATCCATTATAAGCCAAGCAAAGATACCAACCTCGCGAATGCATTATCCTGTCAAAATGTTAATGCCTATAAATTGAGGTTTGACCTACAAAGTCGAAATCACTGAGAAGCCTATCAAATGTTTTAGGAATCAGGAAGTTGTGCAGCTTGTGCTACGATCTCCTTAGGGTTAGCAGTTAAAAAAAGTCCTGATCAGACTAGAACCCGTTTAACATCACACTACTTGCTACCTCCTTTACTCGATAGCAATACCAACAATTCACTGTCGATGCGACATATAAAAGAACAGCACACGCACACAGTACTAATCAAATTCAAACGCAACTGCAAAGCAATCTCATATATACAGAAACTATTACAATTCCTTTAATTGCTTCTGTGTTTCTTAACCGATCTTGTTAAAATGTTCAAAAGGAGCTCTTATTGTCTCTTATATTCTCAAAATGTCGACTGCATTAAAGTTATGCCTTAAACTATGAGTAGTTCCAATTGGTTGTGTGTACGGAGAGGGGGGAAAATGGCGATAGATCCCTGCGTTCATACATACGGGCGGGCGGACGAACGGAGGCACAAACGGACAGGCAGACGGACATGGTAAGTTCGACTATTGGTGCTGGTCAAGAATATGTATATTTTATGGTCGTCGAAGATGCTTCCTTCTGCCTGTAAAATACAATTGTACTAATACATTATTCTCCTTTTATCCATTTGTAATGGGTTCAGGGTATTAATATTAACTCCGCATCGATGTTATAGGTGCGCAACCGCGATAAGAGCCGATAAGATAATACATGCGTTTACAGATAAAAAAAAATAAGGGAGAAAGTAAGAGGCAAAATTACGAAGGCGCAAGAGGCGCAACTAGAGAGGTTAAGGTAGAAGAGACAGTGGCTGGGTTCAAATAGGAAACAGCTGAAGCATCATCGCAATTGATAAGAGTGGGGCATCTTACTTATAACGTTACTCTGCGAAGAAACTGCTATCCTTGAATATCCCTTATCATTGTTTGCATGGATTGGGAATTCTTCTCTCTTAAATAAATTGGTTGCCCTTGCGTTAGCTTACGCTAAGGCCTCGATGCTCGATACAGCGAGCTCGTTAAAATCTTTCGCTTCATGCATTTAGAACGTATCAACCGACAGCATAGTTCTCAAATTTTTTTTGTTACCGCAAAAATTATTATTCATTTATAAAATAGAATAGGCTCTTTCGGGTCTGCCTACTTCTTGTAGTTTGCAGCAAATAAACAAGGAAATCAAAAAGATATGAAATTAAATAGTTTAATTATTTCTATTATTAAAAGATTTTAAAAAATCCCGAAAGCGAAGTATTTTGGTGACACCGACGTGAATTTCTTTTGTAAAAAGTTCGACACCGTAGCATTTCGGTTTTGAGCGGCTTATGGTACTTAGTTAATATGTAATAATCCGCAGTCCAACTGGGTAGGCGTGGCCGACGAACTCCAGTTCGGTCTCTTGGCCTTTTATGCTGATGCACTGCGTCATATCGGTCAGCAACCTTATTGGTCAGCAACCTTATGAGACCCCACACGAGGCGCTAGCTCACCGCTATAGCAGACACGGAAGTTGGCTCCGCCGACTCTAGCTCTAAGAATCGATTGTCTTTACATTTAATTTCGATTTAGATAAACACCAGAGTACATCTACTCGGTATAATAAACGACTCATTCCGTAACCGCTCCCATCTTTTATTAACCACCAAGGCGGATCAATAGTCAATAATAATCCCGCAAACGCGACGTGAATGATTAATTTTGATAAGCGGTGGTTATCGCTTTGGTCATTCTTTTTGTCACTCGAAGCTTAATTGCCTTTCCTGCGTTACTAATGAACAAGCTATTGCCGCCGAATTTTTAAATAGCTTGATCATTGCGTTCGCCGAAGTTCATACAGGTATTGTTTTAGATTGGTTTACATGTAATACCGATCACCATTGTTATGTACTTAACTAGTTTTGGGCACACTTTCGATCAACGGTGGAAATGCCTACCGCAAAAAACGCCCATAGTGCAGTGCCCTCTGCGGATTTCTTTTGTATATTTTTTTTTTTTTTTTCGCAAAGCCATTTTAATTTATGAAAGTTTGCTGTTCACACAGGAATACGTTACACCGAGTCTCACTTAGACCCTCGGTATAATTGTACCACACCATAGTGCACTTAACTGCAAGCAGCAGCTTAAAAATTGATAACACACACGTGGTCGCTAAAAATTGTAAAGTGACTTACGCTAAGAAATGTGATGCTAGAAACATAAGTAGCAAGAGTTAGAAAAATATCCCAATTAAAAACAATAGTTTATGACCGCTGCTGCCGCTAATGCATCGTTAGCCGAGCTTAAATAAGATAGTCTGTTCGTATATAAAACCTGGGATTTGAAAGAATAAGCCAGTTCTATCAAGCTCTCAACACACTTGTAATTTGCAACCACTGCAAAATGTGGTAACTAATTCGACTCTTAGTGCAGTTGATGAGTTCGGTCTTAGTATAAGGCTGAAGCAAATCGAGCGGCCTCATTTGAAAGTTCTCATTGGTATGAGCCTAGAAAAATTAAATTTTGATGGAATTGGTAGCCAATTGCGTAAGGACTTTGACGAATTTGCCGTTTCGATGTTTACAACTATGAAAGCTTCTCATCCGGAGTTAGCAGATAACAAAAAGCTGCAGTATCTTCGATTGTGTTAAATTCAATCACTGGAAAAAACAAAACAAGTAAGAGGTTCTAGTCGGGAGCTCCCGACTAGGAAATACCCTGAACACTCTTATTCCCATATCAAATAAATTAAAAAAAAAAGTTCTCTTGGCAGGGTTCGAAATCGCAACTGACAGCAGTACTTGCTGTCAACTCTACTTAACAGCCACACCAGGAAAAAAAATTCTTTCCCCGGTAGGGCTCGAACTCGCGACCGCACCACTTGCTATGCCTCTACTCAGCAGCCACACCAGTAATTAAGAACTTATGATAAAAAAGGAACTAAAATAGTATTACAGAAAAATGTCGCAATTACCATGCTGTTGGAATGCGAAGCAGACCCGCATGAATGTGTGTGTGTACATGTATACAGAAATTTTTAAAACTTCTGCCCCATTCAATTGCGCAGTTGCATAAACCTCTGGTTTTTTCTTAACCGATCTTTATGAAATTTGTACAATTTTTCTTATTTTACCATAGAATATTTTTGTATTCTGAAAAAGTCAATTGCAGTTAAATTGTGGTTTAAATTGGTTGG